GGTGCAAAACATTGGGGCGAGCGCGCGGCCAGTCATGGTTTCCCATACAAATTACTAGTGAGTAGTGAGTGATAATTTTGTATGGACATTTTATTGATTTTCTCATGCTATATTAAAAGAGAGTCCAAATTCTTGTATTCTGGCTGATCTGTGCGTATTTTGAAACTACTGGTAAAGATTTCAATAGAATCTGATTGGGGGAAATCCGTGAATATGCTGATTTCTTCGACACCTTTCGGCGAGCTGTTTACAGTGGATTCATGACAACGAAACGCCGAAAACAGGGCTTTTACGTCTCTGTTTGTTTATACAAAACAACATTACAAAAGAATCATGTTTAAAAACAATACAACAAAGCCGTCGGGAAAGAAGAAAGACGTCCAGGTGCGAGAATGTAACCTGATACCAATGTCAATCTCACCTTTGATTATATGACATACTATTAGTAATTATTAGATATAAGAGATAAATTCTAAAAGTAGGCGAATCCAAAGGGTATATAATATTGAGAGATATTGAGAGTTTCAGTTGTTCTCATTGGCAGTACTACCCCCATAGCCAACTGAGAGCAAAACACAAGTAGAAGGAACAGTATCTACGATGCAGTTCAATAATCTTAAAAACCTGCCTGAAGTATTTGATAAATGTTTTTGTTTGTGATAAATTCATCAATATAGCTCAAGAAACTCATCAAAACTTCACAAGTGGTATAAAAGAACAAATTATGTAAAACATATTCTCTCTAATAATGGAGTTGATGTATTGAACTCACTAGAATAAAAAATAAAGACATAAACTCTCAATACATCTTCAAAAAACAAATTCAGCAGCATTTTTTGATGAAAACATTCTATTTGCATATTATTCTATTTGCATATTATTGTTCCTCTATTACTCTGAAAATGCTCTCTCTGATTTGACTGTAAAATAAAATAAAATATTATAAATCTAACAGTTAACTATAAACCTTTACTAGGGGCCTAAAGCAAAAAGCCTAACAAAGTATCTAATAGGTCTTTAGCCCAAATTAATATAAGGAAAAATATGTAAATATTGTCTATGGAACTGTACATAGGGGAGAAAAATTAAAACTAAGTCAATAAATAATAAAGAAACTCTTTCATTGGTAATATTTCTGTCCTCAGGTTTTCTGGGGTCAAATTCTTCCCTCACTGTTTAATTGCAGCCAGAATTTTGGTCTAAATATTAAATTTTTAACCTTGCATGCTTAGATTTACTTCTTTTCAAGTTTCTTTGTTCTATCCTTGGGGAACACTGATACAGGCACACAGGCAGGGGAAATATATTGCTTGTTGACATGTTGTAAGCATAATTTATTTAATACATTGAAGACTGCAAGTACATGATTACATGCTCAACTGTTCCAGCTGTTCAAGGACACACATCCACACTTTTATATGTGAGTCATCCTTTGTGATGGACATACTGAATTTACAAAAAAATATCATGGTCTTGTCAATGGGGCATTTAGCGACATGAATTATATCAACAAATCCGCTCATCCAATATGAGTAGGCCCTCTCATCTTTGTATTTGCCAATATATTCAACATCCACTGCCTTTACTCATAGAATGTATAGCATTCCATCATCAAGATGTGGCCATGTTTTTGAATGTCATCTTTCCAATATTCATCGCACAGAGTGCTAGCCTCGCACTTAATAATATCATTAGTTTGTAGCCATTGTTGGTATTCCTTAATTAATCTATCAAAAATTTGTTCCTTGTAAATTTCTTTGAAGCACCCAATTCATATGCTTTAATAAATGCTCTTGCCACAAGTTCAACCTTTTTCCTACTCTGTCAACCCACAGCCCAACGAAATCCTCGTAATATAATCCATTTGCAATATAATCCTCCTATGAGAACATAAGATATAAACAACTCAAACTCAATATCTCTGAATATATACCCTTTGGATTCGATATTAAAGGTGAGATTGACATTGGTATCAGGTTACACTCTCGCACCTGGACGTCTTTCTTCTTTCCCGACGGCTTTGTTGTATTGTTTTTAAACATGATTCTTTTGTAATGTTGTTTTGTTTAAACAAACAGAGACGAAAAAGCCCTGTTTTCGGCGTTTCGTTGTCGTGAACCCACTGTAAATAGCTCGCCGAAAGGTGTCGAAGAAATCAGCATATTCACGGATTTTCCCCAATCAGATTCCATTGAAATCTTTACCAGTAGTTTGAAAATACACACAGATCAGCCAGAATATAAAAATTTGGACTCTCTTTTAATATAGCATGAGAAAATCAATAAAATGTCCATACAAAATTATCGCTCACTCACTAGTAATTTGTATGGGAAACCATGACTGGCCGCGCGCTCGCCCCAATGTTTTGCACCCCCGGCAATATGGCGGAATAAACCTTGAAAGGGCCTATTGAAATATTTTATCACTTATTTTAATGTAATAGCAAATAAGATTTTAAAGTCAAACATAATACACATCTAACAGGGCTGTACAGAGGGCAGCAGGGGCAACTACCCCCCCCCTCCCCACAACTGAGAAGGGCAACCCTCCCAAGAAAATTTAACTAATTTTATAATGTGATTATGATTGTAATGGATAATTATGCAGTCAGGAATAAAAATTTCATGCAAACAATATTCAAAGTGTCTATACAGCCGGCAGCAGGCTATTTAGTAAACTATCACTTGTCAAATCCCCATATCAAATCTTCAAAACTTTATATGTATTTCGCTCATGAATTACTTCAGATTTCGTTAATCGTTTCAGAAGAGCTTGTTCTGATCTCCGAAGAGATTCATTTGGTCTCAGAAGAGATTCATTTGGTCTCCGAAGAGATTTATTTGGTCTCCGAAGAGATTGTTTTGATCTTCGAAGAGATTGTTTTGATCTCCAAAGAGATTGACTACTGACCAGATGAGGATATAGAGTTTCCATCTTGATAGATAAACGATAACTTCGCAATTTAGAATGGCAAGAAAATATTAAAGACAGCAATCCAAAATGGCAAACATGAGAAAACACAAGGCCATCAGCCCGCCATCTGTGCATGTTCGCAGGTGTCTGGTAAATGATGTAAGCTAATCACTGATTGGCTTATATCTGACACCGATGCAAGTCCGAGGACGCCATGTGCCTAACTTGTATGTCTTTCTCAGTGGTTTTTCTTTATTGATGCGTGCTTGTTAATAAAAGGTAGGTTTTTATTATGGTGTTTATAAACATTTATCATGTTCATTTCATAACAATTTAAAACAAAGAGGTTTTGGAAATGCATTAGAGACATATTTTCAGATGATAAAGCAGTTTATGTCCTTGTTTATGTTTTCTAGTGTAGTTTTGTAAGTAGTAGTTCACAGTACTTGTGGGGAACCAAGTCTGTGGATAGAAACTATTTCTTGTGCCAAAATGTGTAAAGATAATATTTATATTACATTTTGAATGCTTTTATGAGTTCTCAAGCTAATGCTATATAGCTAATAGTAAGTCGAGTACTGTACTGTTCAATGAACTTTGCCCAATGCATTTGTTGCTTCCAAACTATTTTAGCTAATTATTAATGAATATTTTTATTATGTCCATACAGAACGAAAATGGATGCAACTAGTTCCAAGTAAGTATACTGTGTAAAGGTAGCGTTTTTCTCAGCTAATATCTCCTCTCCCTTAATGTGCACTATACTATGTAATTTAATTAGTAACTAAAAGCTATTTGTTATTTTAGGAATGAGTCACCTTCACGTAAGGCTGGTGAAGGTAAAAAAAGTTTCTATTCACGTAAGGCTGGTGAAGGTAAAAAAAGTTTCTATTATCTGAAAAGCATACATGACTTTAACATTTGAATTTTATGTCACCTATTCCCGTCGTATAACCCTATACTAAAAACTACTTTCCAAATCGGTACTGTAATATGTAATAATTATTGTTTATTTTGCAGATCCACACCTCAAGGCTTATGTCCATACTCTAAGTCCTATACAGTCCTCCAGCAAGTCAAACATAAAGTACTTTGACTTCAAATTGCAAACTAGTGATGAAGGAAGCGTTAGAATGGTCTGTTATTCACCTGAAAAAAGAATGAAGCTTCAACAACATTTTAAAAACAAGTCTCCTGTTAAAATTCAAGGTACAAAACGAAGCAAAACCAAAGAGAACGAATATTCCATCTCCAAAGCAGCCAAGATTGCACCTTCAACTGTTGCATTTTCGTACAATGACATAGTTGCAAGCCAACTCTCCACTGTACAAGAATGTTTCAACGCAAGACATTACGACAAAGTTGACATGGAGGCGAGAGTTATATTGAAATCCGAGAAAAAACAACCTGTTATTTACCAAGGAAAAACAAAGTATAAAGTCGACTGTCTGATTGCAGATGCGACAGAGTCAATAAAGATAGCATTGTGGGAAGATGGCATTGACAAAGTGTCCACAAGCAAGAATTATCGCTTTCGAAACCTCATGGTTCGCATTTTTGATGATAATAAGTATCTCAATACTAACAAAGGGACAATTATAGAAGAAATCGCTGACATAGATGATATTAATTTGTCTTCTCCCACTTTGAAAGACAACATTGTGAAAGCGAAGTGTATTGGAGTCGAAATAAAAAAGAGCTGGTCGTGTCTAGTTTGCAACTGCACATGAGAAGCCATAGATTCTACCATAGAAACAACCCATATTACATGCGCAAACTGCAACGTAACAAATTTGAGAAGTTCTACCAAACGCAAACTAGTCTGCCAATTACTCATCGAAATTGATGACAGCATTTTGAGCTTCACTTGCTTCAATGATGCCATGGAAAGCTTTTTAAAATGCATCAACTGTCAAACCCCCATACAAAGCATTGATATTAGTGAACTCCAAAAGTTACTGTTGACAACAGGTCCGCACGAAATGGTTGTCAACAGGTCACAAAGACTTGTATCACAGTTCCTGAAAGCAAACCACAACAAAGAAACATTTCTGTGGTCGATGTGATTGTGAACAGTGGTTGAACCTTATAAACTTGTTGAAACTGTTTTATATAATATTGATATTGTTATTGGTTAATCCTTAGACTCTTAGTTCGTTGAATAAGGGTAACATTAATATTGATTTGGTTAATATTTAAACTCTTAGTTCGTTAAATAAGAGTAACATTAATATTGATACTGTTATTCGTTAATAGTTATACTCTTAGTTCATAAGAGTCTTACGATTTATGTTGTTATTCGTCAACATTTAGTGATGCACCGATATGGAAATGTACTGATATTCTGAAATCCGATATTGAATGGCTGGTACGATATTCTATTTCACTTCGAAACTGCAACAGATAATTGGACTTACTGCAAAAAATTCATCCTAACTATATGAGTTGAGAGTAGTTGGCCAATCAGTGCAGATATCCGTTATGAATATCGGTACATCACCACATAAGTTCATTAAAAGTATTATGATTTATGTAGTGTCTTTGGTATTTAACTCCTTCTCGACAACTATTTTCGTATTACATTACGATTCAATTTTTCTAATGTAAATATCGCGGCGAGTATTTACCCCCCTTTAAAACAAAACCCACCATTGTAATCCTCACAAAATAACCTTTCGAACGGGGGGTCAAGTGCTGTCAAAACATTACACAAACTAAAACAATCATATATTATACTCACTGCTTCGCCAAACACTCAAATGAGAAAAAGAGAAAAAGTTGAATATATTCTAAACTTTTCGTCACTTTCTGAAAGGCTATATGTGTAAAATACTCTTTGTATTCAAGCGCTTTGGTGTAGAAAGTTTCGTATGTATACGCCGACTAGAAATATTTATTTTGAATTTTTAAAGTATCGGGTTTTACTCACACGCGCTTGTATTACGTAATACTTGGCCAATAAGGAGCTCCCTTTAGCCGGGATGACGTCAAACACGCATTGTTTCAAAGCAATGCGATAATAGGGTCCTGTCGCTAAGGAGTTAAACTTGTATCTAATTCATTCAGACTGTTTACTGTTATGATTTATATTGTTATTCAGTGTTGTTAAGAAACTTACTTCATTCAGAATATTTTGGTAGCCCATTCTCCATTGCACACCCTTTACTAATTATATTTACGAGACAAATAGCCAAACATAGTACAAATCTAACAAGGCTGTAGACAGCATGGAGGGCAACAGGGGCAACTCAACCCCCTCCCCCCAGCCACCGAGAAAATTTAACTAATTTTTTATGTATTATGATTATGACTCGGTAAATAATAATTATCCAAGAGGGTCAAAATTTCATGCAAACAATATTCGAGTGTCTATTTAGTAAACTGTCACTTGTCAACCCATATCATTTTCAAAACTTTATTGTAACAATTTGAAGCAAAAGTTCTGTCACTTGTTGTTTACACTTGCCAACGATAACTGTCAAGAAACATACACATTAAACTATTCGAGGAACATGCATTACTGTAGCAAAGAGTCAATCATATATCAAAGACCACTGAATAGTAGAGAATGTTTTGAAAGTCATGAGCGAAGTATATAATTCAATTCCAAATTTCCAATCCAATGCACAGTTAATGATATACCACACTGTTCGGTTTAACACAGCACATCCACACAAAAACAATTTGTGTTGTGGGAAAACATCGGTTTGAGTAGAAGGTATCACAAGTTTAGTTTTGTATATATTGTGTGCCATTGATCTTATCCATCCATATAATATATGATTATTGTAGCTATTAAGTTAGCTTTCAAGCTTTGTAGCTTTCAAGTAGGTTGTTCTGACAAAATTATCTAGCCAAAATCCAGTACATTTATTCATCATCCTTGCATTAATCTCTAAACAAAAACATTTATGTTAGGAAGCAAAATAACAATATAATGAGGAGGGAGAGTGGGGATTCTTTTATTAGCATTTGTAAATGAAAATGTTTGTAAACATTTTGTTTAAAAACTCTAACCAAAATGTATAAGTATTTTAACTGATAACATCGAACAGAGTTTAATACAGAAATACAGGACCAGGATTTAATTCAATATCTCCTGAGAACATTAGTTTCCTGTGACATTGTTCATTGACAAATATATTGGCTGCTATGTTTTGACTGTTTAAAATATTACACAACACGATGATTGTTTTACTGTATAAATATATAATAAAATAATAAATATGTGGTATTTGACTACTTACCAGATGAGGATAAGTTTCCATGTTGATAGATGATAACTTCGGAATAATATCACAAGTAGAATGGCACGTGACAAGACAAAATCAAGATATTTTTGAAGCCAAAATGTGAAAATGGCAAGAATAACACAAATTACACGAGGCGAAACGATGCCCTTTCGCAGGTTAGATGCGGGCACGATGTAAACAATTGATGTAAACTAATCGCTGATTGGCTTAAATTGGCTTAAATTATATAAGCTCGTCACTGAATGGCTATGAGTTAACATACGGTTTGGTACGGCCACGTTTGAGATAGCAATATATCTGCTTCACAGATACAAAAATGGATTGCTTGCCAAGAGGAATAAACTCTATTATACTGGGAACAGTTTATCATCCCCCTCAGAGCGATGATCACATTCTCCGTTCACATATTTTTAATTGCATCGACTCCCTCCTCGCTGCCTATCCGAATTCTGCGATTATACTCCTTGGGGACTTCAACAAATTCCAACCAGGTAATCTGTGTTTCTCTTTTAGTCTCAAAAAAACTGGTCACCAAGCTCACCAGGGGGAACAATATTTTAGACCAAGCATTCTCAACTTTGCTGTCGCATTATCAATCTATTATACTACCACCTATTGGACCATCTGATCACTCCAATATTCTCCTTCAACCCAATGGGAAACTGGCCCCAAGCTTACCAACAACATGATTTAAAAAATGTGACTGCAGAGCATAAAATAAAAGATGCTTGACCCAGTCATTAGAAACTTCAATTGGACACCCATATTGCGGTTAAACTCATGCAAGCATCAACTAGAATCTTTCAAGACTGTAATTCATGATGCTATTGATTTTTACCTCCACATGTGCTCTGTCAAAACAACATCCCAACGACAAGCCGTGGATTACCCCAACAATAAAAGACACCATTAAAAAGCATTGGCAAGCTTTAGTGAAAAACGACTCGCAAAAATACAAAGCATACCATAATAAAGTCATAAAACTTTGTAAAAAGGCGAGGCAACGTTTTTATGTAGACAAAATTAACCATACACACAATACTGACGTCAAAAATACTGACCCCAGCCTCAGTGTGTTGACTCCGACCATAGATCTATATCCCTAACACCAATGCTAAGCAAAGTCCTCAAAGGTTTTGTTTTTAATTGGATTGCACCCATAGTTATGCCTTATATTGATCCTTACCAATTTGGAAACATGAAAAAACGTCAACACATGCCCTTGTGCATCTCCTCCATTACTGGCTATCTGCTCTTGAAGAACCTAACACGCTTATTAGAACCTGTCTCGTAGACTTTTCAAAGGCGTTCGACCGAATTGACCATAACATTCTGTTACATAAATTGAAATTACTTAATGTTCCCCCGGTGCTGTTGAATTGGTGTGCCAGCTTTCTTTCCGACAGGCACAACATGTTCAATTACAAAATTGCAAATCAAATTGGAGAATTGTCAAGGCTGGAGTACCACACGGGACTAAACTAGGACCCCTTTTTTCGGGTCGTGGTGAATGATTTGGCAAGTCAACTACCCTTGTATAAATATGTTGAAGATTGCGCTCTCTCAGAAGTTATTAAAGTCGGCAAATCTGTCCCACTAACCTTACAGCAAGAGGTAGATAGTGTTAACTAGTGCTAAATGTTAAGAAAACCAAATAATTCATTGTGTCCTTAACTAACCATCACTTCAGCCTCTGATGATCAATAACCAACATCTTGAGATGGTTCATACCATAAAACTCCTGGGTGTATACTTGACATCTGATCTTAAATGGATAAAACATGTTACCCATATTTGCTCCAAGGCAAGTAAGCATTTGTATGCACTAAGGCTCCTTAAACGTAATGGTGTACAATCAAGCTATCTTTGAAGGGTGTTTTGCAGTTTTATTCAGACTGTTCTTGAATATGCGTGCCCTGTATGGCACTCTTTCCTGCCGAATTCACTCAGAGACCAAATCGAACATATCTAGAAACGTGTTCTGAAAATTATTCTGCCAAACCAGTCATAATATCATGAGAGCCTGAAGACCTTAAGCTGCCTACGCTTACTGAAAGAAGAGAGTCATTGTCCATGCATTTTTACAAGAAAACTTATTGTGACACTTTAAGCAAACTATTTGAGTTATTGCCTAAACCAATTAACCATGAGCACAACCTTAGACATGCTCGAAACATTCCCCTTTTAAATCACATACTAAAGGATTTAGTGATAGTTGTCTTCCTTATTGTGTAGGAAAGTGGGACACGTTCTAACTATTACAGTGGCTAACATTTCTATAGTTATAAAGATTTAAGATGAGTACTTTTAAAAGGACAATGGCAACAAATTTTTTTATTGTCTGTATTCATTAAGCTTACTAATTGAATACTTAATTTCATATTTTTGCTTGTCCATAACATTTAGTTGTTCAGATAATTTGTGAAAATGTTTAACAAATTTTAACAGTTGTCCGCCATCTTGGGAAAATGCCGCTTATGCTAATTTATGCATGAAACATTTTGTGATGTAAATGGCAGGGTAAACACAAATCCCACAATATAAGTTACACTGTAACTAGAAAATACATGCGTGCAGCAACCCCTCGCCTTTCTTAACAGATGAAGTATAAAAACTGCACATAAATATTAAGACCATTATAAACAAACATAAAAACACAACTCATGCGCTAGTTTTATAATGAACGATAACATTCACTTCAATTGCAATTTCATGCATACCAGCTTGCATTAAAGTGAATTATCGAGTTAAGAATGGCTTAAAAATTTCGCAGATATGAATTAAACCGACAACACAAAGCAAGTACGGCATGGAATTTTACTACTCAAATGTCTATACACTTACCCAGACTGGCACAACAATGATTAAATTATCAAAGACATCAACATCAAAACAATTATTATGCAAACTTTGTTTCATGGTTGAACAGCCACTAATTCGTGACACTGCAGGCTTATTTCCAGTTAAAATCGAGGAAAAAAACTGTGTTGTAACACTTTTGTAGACTTTAACGCAATTTAAAACAACATTTTAAATGAAAAACTACATTTTAAGAAATTTGTTTTTGGTTTATCAAGGTAAAGCTTTCGATTATTGCTTCTTAGACTGTATGAGGTATTGTTGTTAGTGGTGAATAGTTCAGTCAAATATGTTGGTACAATGCTTCTTAGTGCCTTAAATGTCATTATTTGTTCGCCTTTTAGTAAAAGTAGCTTCAATTGGCTCCCATTTTAGGTTATCAAATATCTCGTGTGATCTAATGTCATAACTTGAATTTGTTATCACCTGCGCCACTCGTTTTTGAAACGTTTAGAATACAATTGAAAAGGGAAGCATTGCCAAGTAATAACTTTACTTACAGTACATACTAGCTTCAATTGCGGTATATATCTCTCGTTTATTTTGCTTCTTGTAACGAATTACAAGTTTATATTAACAATAAAATATTTACAAAGCAATAAAATTATATAAATATACTATATAAGAAACAGATATTATAAAATAGAAATTTTTGTTACTATTTATATCTATATGTTAAAAATTTTTTACATCTATCAGTCCGGATCTTTCTTACACCTATTTGGTTCTGATTTCCTGATCTTAGGTTATAACCGTGTGTATTCGTATAGTATGTTTTTGTTAAATGATGTAGAGTACGGGACGGATCTTTAAGTTTATTTATATACTTCTTACATAAGTCTACTCTCCTGTCTTTAAGACTTTCCAATTTAGAGATCTTTAATGCTTCGCCATAGTCACTACCAGGATATATAATCCAGAGAGCTCTTTTCTGTACTCTTTCCAACTTGTCACTTAGATACTCTGGGAAGTCAGACCAGGCTTCAACAGCATATTCTAGAATAGGTCGAATCATCGACTTATACACTAGAACAAGTTCCCTTTCCTGCAATCCAGCCTTCTTTAGTACTCTTAATGCATACAACCTTTTACACGCCTTTTTTGTTTTGTCGTCAACCTGCGTATTCCATTTAAGATTACTTCCAAGCATAACACCTAACAATTTGTACGCATCAACGGATTCTATTTGGGTACCGTTAACGACTAAATCCCTACTTAATATATTTGGGTTTGTCATAATATTTACAAACATCTCCTTGCATTTCTTGGGGTTCAACTTCATTTTATGGTCCATGCAATACTGTTGAGTTTCTCTTGCTACCAAATCCATCACACTTATTGAGTTCCGCGGGATTGTTTCTACTACGACTAAATCGTCAACAAACTTTGCTCTTCCTGACCAATTTTTAACTAAGTCGTTAGTCGGTATACTATTTCTATAATGGATTGACATAAAAAGACACAAAACAGCGCACACATTATACATGTGCACCTAATATAGGCTACAATATTTAACGGCATGGTCTACTTTCAATTCCCTGTTAAAAATAAAAAATCCATTAAATAAATGATTATAGTAAGTAAACCACAAACCAAAGGTCCAAAGATGCATGTAGAGGTCCTATATTTATACCTATCCCAACATTAAAATATTGCTTGTTTTTCTCCTACGTCTGGTTCATATTGGTATTATAACACTTCCCCTACTTGGTTCTTGTGAATATTTTCCATTAAAATGTTTCAAAAGCATTAATTTTTTGAGAAAACATATTAAATCTCGATACATGCTATACAAAAACATATTGTTGTTTTGATTCTACCCTGCCATTTATGTCATACGTGTCATCTTACCCAAAAGATCATTTTTCAGGAATACAAGCCAAGATGGCAGACAATATATAAATTAACAGTGAAATAACATGCATATAACTCTTGAACAAAAATGTTTGACACTTGTATTAATATCATATTCATAGTTAGATGAAGCAACACTTTAATATAGACAATAAAAAAATTTGTCGCCATTGTCCTTTAAAGTAGGTTTAATAGCTAAAGTGTAACTTTTTTAATTGTTGTAACAGCCAAATCCTTTTAGAAATGTAACTTGAGTTTTTCAGTCTGCCTCTGTGTAGACTGCCATTCAAGATTTTTTAATAAATTGATATATATAGGGACAATGTTCCCATTTTAGTTAACCATTTTCAAATGAAGTTTTGGCATTAATGCATCTGTCTCTTTCAAAGTGTAATTAATGTTTTCTGTGTTTCTATATATTAGGTTCATCGAATCTAGAACCCGCAAAGACATGTCCAAATGATACAATCAAGGATAAAGTAACCAATCTAAAATGAAGTTTTATTCACTAGCTAATGCATCTGTCTCTCTAGAAGTAAAATGTGACTTAGTTTTTACGAATTTATCAAGAACGTTTTTCAGTGATGGCAAGTTTCATTCCAAATTGCAGACAACAAACAGCAGTATTGGAAGACACAAATGCATTTGACCAATAGCGACAGGGCGATCATTACTTCTCACAAAAAACTGTGAATGATAACCATATAAACGCCGCACAAAAAATCCTTTCACTGCAATTTCCACAGATTAAAGGATTTCAGGACACCCTAGTGTCTCAAACGAATATGTTCACTCCAATTGCTTCGCAAGCAAAATGCATACAAATTCACCATGTTCGAGATAACCACTGGATAACGTCATGTTTGACCGGTGATTGTGTAGAGGTGTTTGATAGTATTTATGACAGCTTACGTCCTGATTTGTCAGTGCAATTAGCAATGATTTATCAACCAATGGCTAAAGCTAAAGGTAACGTCTTGGAAGTGAAGATACTTCCAAGTCAACACCAAACTGGGTCAACCGATTGTGGGTTATTCGCAATTGCTTGGGCTGCAGATTAAGCAGTGGAAATCAACCAGAGGATGTAACACTTGATCAGACGAGAATGAGAGTTCACTTTCTTGAATGTCTAAACAGAGAAAGGATTGATCGTTTTCCACAAACACACATCACAAAATGAAAGTGGGAAACGAACCACGAAATTTAGGTCACACGAACGGTCAAGAATGTGAAAATGTATTGCGACCGCAACTATAGTTATAGATTTAAAAAATCTTTAACTTAATAAACGTTTGAGTTGCAAACTACAAAATAAAGTCTTAACAAAATATATTGTGTAAACGTCACATTTTAATAATGACGTATAATCTATATATGATGCTTGTGATGATGTTACTCTGAGTTTTTATCCACACCGGGCAAGCATGAAAAATATGTCTGAACACGGCGGGAATCAAACCCAAGACCTTTGGAATAACAGCCCAATGCTCTACCAACTGAGCTATATGCGGTCAGATCGGTTCGAGTTTGTGATATTTCGGAACAGAATCTAGTTCCTTCGATATGAATGTAATCTAATAATCAGTAATGATTTTTCTGTATTGGTGTAATGTACTCAGCTGAATATGATGCTTGTGATGTTACTCTCAGTGTATATCCTTTGCATTGGGCTGGTATTCCAAAGGTTGTAGGTTCAATTCCCGCCATGGTTAGGCATATTTTTCAAGCTTGCACTGTGTGGATATACACTCAGAGTAACATCACAAGCACCATATTCACCTGAGTACATTACAGCAACACAGAAAAATCATTACCAATCTATATATATAATTATAACATAGTCATTCACCGTATACGAGCTGTTCTGCGTATACGAGCTGTTCTGCAGCTTTCGCTACTCACTATATATGAGCTGATATACTCACCGTATATCAGCTCATATATAGTGAGTAGCGAAAAACAAGATGGAGGTCCAAAAACTACATGAGTTTTGCGAAGTAGAAAAAAGGAAAATATTCGCTTTGAGAAAGATAATAAATAGTACAAGGAAAAACACTCAAAAAATTTGACAGGTTAGCAAAATACATTTATTACATAGAAATTAGTTTAAATACAAGTTTTTAAAGAATTAATGCCGAAACAACAGCAAAAAAAAACATGTTCATTGAAAATATCAATTGTTCAGAAAAGTTTGCAACAAAAGACAAATGAATTTGCAGTCAAATAAGCACTTACTATACTACCAAACATCTGTATAATATATTTGAGCTTTTCTGTGGGATATACCGGTTCTAAAACCATTTCTTTCACTTCATCTTCGAGTTGTAAAACAAAAGTATTTCAAATTTTCAAGGCCAAGTGATTTTTGGCCGAACAAATTGTCAAGACATTGTAACAGAGGATAACTCATTATTGCTCCAGTTAAT